TCACTTTCTGTTTCACCGGAAATGACTATAACTTTTAATTTTTAAACGGCACCCTCGGTATATTTCTACTTTATTTGATAGAAAATGACACTCTGAATAGAATGACATATCATATGTCAACTTTTGACACTTTCGCATATGGTTTAATTGTAATTGTAACACGTGGTTCATAACGACAATTTGACTCGAAATACCAAGTGTGTGGTATCAATATATTCATAAAAAAATGCTTTTTCCAAATATGCTAACGAGTCACCCTTGTTCCATTTGAAAAAATTGACATATGTATGATTAAAAATATGATTTGTACATCTTTTAATCGGCCTAGACAAGACACGAAACCCATTAGACGATCAAAACTATTTTTCCAAGGCTCCTTGATTAAAACTTAGTGTTTTTAACAACACCATGGCACCCTGGATTGAAATTTATAATACGATTTGTTTTTAAGCGACAATGTCAAAAGTTGACATATGATATGTCATTCTATTCAGAATTCTATTATCATTTTCTATCGAATAAAGTAGAAATATACCGAGGGTGCCTTTAAAAATCAAAAGATGTAATCATTTCGGTGAAACAGAAAGAGACCAAAAACAATTGAATACGTCAATAAATCCTAATTTATGTCATATACCTACTAACATACAAATCTGTTTTTTTATCTGAAAAAATAAAAAAGTTATAGCGGTGAACCACTTTTGAGACGACCCGGTATATTAAAAAATATTGTCTCATAATGTAATATCATATTAAAATTCTTGTATGTTATTTTAGATTCTGAAGATAATTTTAGAATAAACCGGAATATATTTTTAATAAAAACATTATTAATTATTAACAGGGTTATAATTATGATTTTGTTACAATGTAAGTAAGTAAATAATGTAATATAAGAGAAAAAATTCAGATTTTACATTTTACTAAAATATTATCTAAATAAGCGCCTTTCTACAACAACGCCACTGACTCCCAATGGGTAAATTGAGAGTTGCCTACGGTCAAAAGTCGTTTCAAGACTTAAATGGATTATTTAAGTCAAATTTCTTGCAAATTTGGCACTGGCGAACCATATTTTATAGTTTTTGAACAGAAAAAGTCAATAAAATAAACTCTTAAGGACTACAAGCTAAGAAAATGCGTTAATACAGCCGGGGAGATAGCGGCAACAAAGCTTTACCGCACACGTGCGACACGTACTACAAGGTAATAAATGAATGAATAGGCTCCCTCGCCTCTAATCGGTGTTGCCATATTGTAAAGAACTTATCCTTTAAATAGTATCCGACTTATAATTTAGTAGTATAAGAACTATTTAATACATCTATGGAATATTAAAACCTACTTTATTAAACTGTAGTATTAATATCTCAATATATGTGTATAACAAGAAAAAAAATATTGATAATATTAAAGACGTGACAACATAGGCTGGATGAGGAAGGCTCGGTCGACTGTACCCAGAAGTAAACATGTGTACAAAAAAGGTTGTTTGTCCGCGTTGAGATGTAAATAGTGTAGTCTATATTTTATTTTAAGTCTATGGTTTTAACTGTTTTGAGAGTAATAACTTTTCGTCCATACCTGTATAAAACTACTGAGTGAAAACATATTCATTTCTGTAACTTTTTACGTAAAAAAGTCTCTTGGTAAAAATCGCTACGAGCAACCGTTCTCGAGATATTTAGAATGGAGATAATCAATACATGTCAATATTGACAAAAAAATACTTGGAGTAGATAGTTATTTGACTGAAATAATACATTTGGGAAATTTTTATATTTTTAAATTAATCAAAAATTTTTCTGCAAAAAAATGATAATTAAACAGTTTCTATTGATCTTTTTGCACAAAAACATTTCAAGTTTATGATTTCAGTCTAATAACTATTTAGTCAACCTGTTTCAAAAATGACAGGTATGGATTTTCGATACCAAATATCTCGAGAATCATTACCCCTAGGGATTTTTACCAAGAAACCATTTTTACTCAGTAGTTTTATACCTATACAGCTACTTTTTATACTTCATAAATTATTTGGGAAAAATCTACACCCTGTATCTTCGAAACTAAGCATTTTATTACATTATATTTATACGATTTTTTTACTTATTTTTATGTGCAGAATACGCTGTTGAAGTTTCCGGAATACAATTTGGACCACCCTTTATATTGACGGTTGATTCTATATCACGTGTTTCATTATTTGTTGTTGGTCACACACGTGTGGATCAAAATTATATTTTCCTATCCTTCGTATTTTTTCCCGAAACCCCTTGTATGTATGGAATTGTTACTTGTCTACCTATATGTTAGGGCTAAGGTCCGATATTCGGTTAATATCGACATTACCCGGTTAATCTCGAGAATAACACACAAAAAAAAAACAACCAAAAACAAAACCAAACCCAAACATTAACCTGTTAATGTCGACATTAACCGGACATTGGACTTTAACCGTAACATAATATACACGTGTGGCAAAATTTCATTAGCAATAGGAGCTTTTCAATGCGATAAAAAAAGATGGTAAGGCTGCAACATACACTGCAGTACAACAGAGACGGATAAAGTGTCTTTTCCCTACCATTGTATAGGGGAAGTGATCATAGAAGTGATACGACGAGAGAGCTTCTGCGTGAGGGGGCGGGTCTTTAAGACGCTTGTGTGGGGGCTACCGGCTACTAATAGAATAGAATCGAAAAAATAGAAAGACGAAGGACAGTGTTGCCATTCTGTTAAATCAAAATTATGTTGGCTTATCCTAAATCCCGAATCTTCTAATCCCATTATCTTACCTATTTAATGAAATATTAAATAAAGTACAAAATAATTTAAGAATGTTTTCTCTAGGCACATAACACAACTTCTTTCTAAAACAAAAAGTAACATGCAGAACTTTGAAATCATTTCTAAAATAGCAAGTGCAATTCTATGAAATGGCAATACTGTACGATCTTCCTTCCAGTTGCCCCGACACCGACCGGTCGGTCGGCGGCGGCGACAAAGGAATTAGACCGAAAAAACTTTATAAGGTGTAGCCGAACAGGGTTGCCGGGTTTGTTAGATTATAATTCCATACAAGAACAAAATTCTCGGTAGATCTTTAACAAAAATCAAAAGTACAGAAACAAAATATAATATAACATTTAAGTCCAAAATTAGTATTCGTATGTGTCGTAATACTAGATCACTCAAATAAAATACAAATATAGTAAATATAACAAGAATTAGAAATAGGTAGGTATATTATATTCAGTGCGAGATTCTGAATCATATGTTCTACTCGCCTGGGGTAGTTTTGTTTTAAGGTTCGACATTTCGTGGTTTACAGGTTTGGCAATTTCAAGGCCACGCTTTTGATTACAAAATTTTGAGGTTTGGATATGAAAATGGGATGGGACAGTGATTTCCCCAGTATGGTCTTGGGAGATAAGCTAAGGCTTGCGTGGGCAGGGGCACGTCTCTGCCTGACATTAGGGAAGTGGCAGGTAAACGGTGGTTAAATATAGCACAAAACAGGGAGACATTTAAAAGGATAGGAGAGACCTATATCCAGGAGTGGATGAATCCGGGTTGAGGAAGAGGTATATTATTTAATATTAAAAAAAATATATTGAATTAAACAATATTAATATATTAATAAAAACTGTAACAAGTAGGGATAGCAGTCACTTTTTACCTTTGTACATTTTGATCAGTGATATCTAAAATTAATTTCATTTCAATGGGAAAGCTGTAGCAACTCTCAACTCTTTTTTCATATTAATATATTTTTTTGACAGGAAAAGCACTAAAATATTTATCCGTATTCAGTTTGTTTCTTAACTTAGATTTTGTTTTTTGTTTATATTTTTTGGGGGGAAAATATGGGTTTAACTTTAGTAGATGAATGAAACAAAATCTTTTCAAAAGATATCAACTTCTTCGGGCATATCGCCAATACCGCGCCTAATAAAGAGTAATAAGGATTTGTAGGAATATCTTTGTCACTCTGCAACTAGACGGAACGATGACCTATGATTACTAAATAAAATTTAACAAACAATAATAAAGTCAGATTAGACTAAAAACGCAGTTGAACATATCGTTAGATTTTTGTTTAAATCGGTAGATCGGTAGCTTACAGACGAAACCGGTAGACCTGGCAACTCTGTGATGGACTGACGTGAAGGCGTTTTGCGGTGACGCGGGAAGGGAAATAAAATAATGGCGATAAAGTGCAGGTGGATGGGTATCATGGGTGGATGGGAGGCGGCGGAATTTCCAAAATTTGTTATCTTATTAGAGTTTGTCTAACTCGACAGTCGTAGTGGAAGTGGAAACGGGAAAAGTTGTTGTCCATCTCTGTTTAAGCTTAGACTTTTTATAGGCGTTTCATTCCACTAATGCATGTAATTCCTATGCCTAGATATCGTATTACCGGACCTGTATATTGTATATTATTCTCACTGTGTATATATATTATATCTGTATTTTGTGTGTTTTTCTATTTATGTTTCTTATATGTGGTTATAATATTCGATTAATATTATTTGAATGTATCATTTTTGCCCCTATCATATAAACTAAGTAATAACACCTTTTTATCCCTTATAATATCTTGTGGTTAGATGAAATTTAAAAAAAAACACGCAATGTATAATACTACATTGTATGTAGTGTCCAGAGGGTTTAAGTTAATTTACTTATTGTAGTATAATTAGTTTTAAAACATTGTGTGTGCACTATATGCGCAAATTTGTAGTGAAAATTCTTACTTACAGCTATTAAATTGAAGGATTTAAAGGACATGTTTGAAAAAGTGTAGTTTGAATTGTTTGAATTGAGTTCCAATCGACCCATAATTAAGAACAATCCTGATGATTTCGTCCATTTAGATGTATCGGTTCGAAACGTCGAGGCCGTCATCCTGTAGCTCAATTATGCCGAAATCGTCCCACATTATTCTTCAATATCGAATCGTTAGTCACACCCTGATGAAGATGTAAATGAATCATCTAAGTCCGTACGTCGCATACGACGTGTAGTGGCTCTGGTTCTGGCTCTAAGGACCTGACGGCCGCACACACCGTCCGTCTCCAATTTTCCCTGTTTTCTGTCCTTCGAACGGCTCCCTCCAGGTTGGTATTCATAAGTTTTTCAACCATGTCCACCCACCTGGTTGGTGATCTGCCTCGGCGACGGGATCCTGCAGGTCTTCCTTGTACTACTAGTCTCTCCATGTGCACGCTCCTGTTGACATGGCCGAAGAAGAAAAGTATATGTTTATAGACAGTGCTGGAAAGTCTTTGTGATAATTGGATTTCGTTAAGGACCGACACATTGTGCATTGGTGCGATGTGCTGTCCATGGTATTCGCAACATACTCCTCCAGCACCACATCTCGAAGGCGTCAATGCGTCGTCTGTCGGCTGCTAACAATATCCATGTCTCTGAAGCATAAAGCATAACCGGAAAGACAAGACTATTTACCAGGTTTATTTTTGTCGATTTTTTTATATGATTGTTCGACCAAACTTTGGTGAGCTGCGTCATAGCGTTACGGGCCAGTTGAATTCTGCGGCGTATTTCCACTTCGCAACTACCGGTATTAGATATAAGTGCACCTAAAGATATAAATTGTTTCACAACTTGGCAGCGGTTTATGTTTGTGATATCTGGGCGGTTGTTGTTTTCGCGATCAACGATCATCACTTTAGTTTTTTTGTAATTGATGCGAAAGCCGAACTGTCTACTGGTAGTTTCCAATCTTGTTATAATTGCTTCCAGTTCTAGCTGGTTTGCGGCCACCAATACTGTGTCATCAACAAAATGCAGATTTGATATTCTGTAGCCATTCAGTGATACACCGCCTGCCCATTCCTCCAGTACAATCCTCATAATGTATTCGCTGTAGATGTTGAACAGCATTGGGGACAGTACGCAGCCCTGACGTACTCCTTTTCTTATCTGACAAATGCCGGAAGTACTACGATCCAACTTCATAACTGCTTGGCTGTTGTCGTATAAACTTTTTATTGTATCTACCAGATGTTGTGGTACTCCCATTTTAGCCACTATACTCCACAAGTATCCCCAACATAACTTATCAAAGGCCTTTTCGTAATCCACGAAGCATAAATACATACATTGACATTACCTACTTAAAATTTGGTGGCGATCGGACGACATCAAATTTTGACGTTTCTTATCTCAAAACTACCTGTCACAGTGACACGTGTCGTACACGGTCAAGTTGGCCTTGGTCCAATCTATCGACGTAACAAATTTCATTCAAATCGGACGATTTTTTGATTTGATTCATTGATGATGCGGTTTCGTAGTACTGAAACGTCGTCAAAATAGCATAGAAAAAGATGGGGCTCGAAATGCCCCATCCTACATTCGAGGATTTCAGCCCCTAGCTCACGCAGGGCTCGAATTACGGCGCTCCGAGATGGATACCGTTTTTTTTGAGGCTTGGCGCCCTCGGCGTGACACTTCGCGTAACTCTAGCTTGTGTGTCGCGGCCTTGAATGTTTACTCCCATCGTGCGTAAAGAAGTTTCAATTCAATAATTCAATTAAAAAAATAAAGTACCTGTTTACAAATTCATAATTTTATAGAGCTATATGTGTAGGATAAATCTAGTAGTCTTAATATGGTCATATTCCTAAAAACACTCAGTACAATTTGATAAATTATGTTTTTCGAATAGAAATTATATAAGAAATCCACTCACCGCAAAAAATAGACCACGAAACTTCTATAAATCTCAAACCTTACTGTAAAATATGTTTGAATCACCCTGTACATCTATGAAAATATTTTTAAAATGTGCCGTAGACATTGGAGACATATTTTGTAAAAAATACAGTTAAAACCTCAAAATAGAAACTTGATATGAAGCTTTTCGGTAGATCACCATGTTTACCTATTATTAGCATGTATTTTAACACTAATAAAATAAAATCTAATCATAAAACACTGAAAATTATAATTATAAGTCAATATGATTACGTAAAATACCAAAATACTAAAAAAACACTACATTTACTTCGTGTTCTTTCACTCCTTTAGATATTTTTCACAATATTACGACTTATATCACCTAATAAGAAGGCTCTGCTTTCTGGAGCTTGCGTGCGCTTACAGACTTTGACGGTTGCTTAGCAACCGGCAGTTTTTTGTTTCAGAATTCAACACGCGTCAATTAAATACCAGTTTACATTCGCAAAATTTGTTAAAACACGAGTTTAATTATTATGTAAATTGTTATTAATGTGATTTAATTTAAGAAAATGGTGTTTTGGACTATTTCTATGGTTTTATGGTACAGTGTGTTCTTCTATAAGGTAAGGAATTCATAATTATATTAGATATGTTAGGATATTATAATATTTATTAGGTATTTATAAATTATATAATCCCTTATAAGTAGGTAACTTCTAAAATAAGTTTATTTTGAAACCTTGATACTAAAAATTGAAGAAATAGCAAAATATTACGTAAAAATAAGTAAATTTTTATTTAATTATTACTAGTCGATACTTAGATAATTAGATATCGAATTCATAACCAAACATTGCATATCTTAATAATACATAAAAATATTATTGTCAAGTCTGTGAATAAAAAGACCAAGGAAAGAGTATAATGCTCTCAATGGTATTTATGCATGATATACGGAATGGGCATCATGACACCTATAGGTACTGACTTGACGTTTCAATAGGCTTGTTCCATCATATCCTATTGGTATGTTTTTTAAACGTTTTTGGATACTACTTATTATAATAAGTGCACCATTAAAATTTCAAAACGAAATCTTTTGCCGTTTTCGAGATATGAGAGCTTAAAGTTTGTAACGGCTAGAGGAGGCCACGCCCCCTCGTGACGTAGTTCCACTACACCCGACTTCGGCCGTCAATCAGTTCGTAACGGAAACACTCATTTGAATTAATGTGATTTGTCTTTTTATCGTTATTTAGACTATTTCGTTGGTTTATTTTCACAAGATGCATTCGGTAGGAAAAGGGTTCAATAAAGCTGATTCGGGCAATCTCCCAGAAGCGGACATTTTTATGATTATTTTAATAAAAATAGGAGTTTATTAGTTCAGAAATGAAGGAAATAAAGTTACAAAGGTACCTAAGTAAACTCTTTAATTTCTATTATATTTTTCCTTCTAAGATATTTTCTATTGCATAAATACCTATATCTGTATCGGAAAGCAGTGGCTGCTCGCTAGGGTAAAAAACAAAGGGTTATTTACCCTATATGAAAGAAGGCAACCTATGCATTCTCTTAACTAACCTATGCAATCTTCTTCTATTTGTAACATTAATACAATTAATTAGCATTTTGAGGCTTTTCGGCTAATTATTGAATTAACAATTGTTGTGTTTATATTAATAATATAATTAAGTTAGAATATAAATATAATTAATATTGAATTAATACACAATAATTGTACAAGTAAATAAGAGACTTTCCTCAAATATATATTTTTTGTTTCCTTTAATGACTAAAGTAAATTTTAAAGCGCTAGTACCTTAAAGTAATATTATTATATATCAAGTGTGGCGAAAAACATTTTAACACGCTTGCAGAAAACTATTTTTAATTATTTTGAAATTTTTTAAATTTTTATATTATGGATATTATCTAAAGGTTTATGAAACAATTAAAGCATTATTATAAATACTAGTGAAAAAAGTGTAATAGAAGCAAAGTGTAATGACTGTCGCATCCGAACGTGCAAGCACGCGGTAGCATTTCTTATGTGGCTGCATAAATTTGATGGTTTGAAATGCGCTCCTCTTGATTGCTCTTGATCATGCATTTTAAGATCCTTGTCTACTGTATTGGCCCCGAAATGAAAGTTTCATTTGCCTCCTGCCTCGCGTCTTTTAATATTTCCCTAATAATGGCTGCTTGTTCTCTTTTTTTTGCCAATCGTCGAGGCTTTACACTTTACAGTATTTGAAGCAGAAGATCCTCGTTTTTGGCACTCAAAATGTAAAGAATAACACCTGATTTTAATTTTATTCTTTACCGATTTCATAGTTTTAAGTACATATATGTAATTTTCTGTCTTCTTCAACCTATATTAAAAAAAACAGGAAACACCACTTGTAAGTATTAACGTACATTAAAGTGATCTTCACAACAAAATCTGGTGCCTCTGTCAGGGACAAAATCATGTCTTCACATTGCATGCTGCCATGCTCGTCTTAACTTTATGTCGGACGGTAAAGAAATAAATAGTTTTTCTGGGGACTTTTTATTCGTATTTGTGCATTCTGGCACTACACAACGTTTCCCTTGTCTTACTAATATTGAATAAAGAAAGACTTTAGTACTACACTACGTTATACTGTAAATTTAAAAACACACTTTTCTGTAATCGGGCAAAGCAGACCTGTGCATTGTATCGAGCGCGGTCGCCAGCCGACCTGTGGTGCTATGACGTAGCGGCTGGCTACGCCCCTTTCTCGTGCAATAGATGTTTGTACGTGTTTTTGAGGTACTAAACGTACGAATAAAATTCTAATTTTGGTAGATCTGTTATTTTAACGCATTGAAAATGTTTCTGTTATCCTATATAAAGGAGCCCAAATCGAATTAAAATGCTACATTGCCACACCATGACGTCATATACAAGGGTATAGGAAATCTCGGCGCAGCGGCGGCAGTCGGCCAGCGCGCGCAAAAACCATTACATCGCTAATTGTTTATTGATATATCTTTATTATTTTAAAACCAAAAAATATGGGGTTTGCTTTGATACCTTATCAAGACATAATGTCGTGATCCTGGATTGGACCACCGTCGTCACCAATCTTGTAGTCGCTGCCACCAAATGTTGTAGTTCTCTATTTGACTCGTATCACCACTTGTTGGGAATGTTATTCTTTATTTTTTTTATAATTAAATTCTTACTAAGTTGTTATTACTTTTTATTTTTAAACTTTAATACAAAATATAAATTTAGCAGTATTACGTCTGAAAAATTTTTATAGATAATCCCCGGTCCCTTCTGTGACCGTGCTTTTATGAGAATGCCCTCTCGGAAAATCCACGGGCGTACCTACTATTTCTTAATAATACTTTCAGGTAGGTTTGCAAAGGGACAAACATGACCAGTTCTTAAGTAAATAGAAACCAGACATCGCGTCTGAAAGTAAACTAATTACAAAGGAAAACTAAAAATGATGCAACTATTTATGACTATTTCTTCAAATTTGTCTTAAGGTAATGGTTCTGTTTATTTGCATCACCCATCTTTCTGAGGAGAATAATAATGTTGATGGTATTTTCGTACCTTAAATTCTTTAGGCATAGCCGTAGAATAAGAGGTAAAAATAATATTTTGTAATTTGTCGAATATACATATACATATAACCATATTAATGTATGTTCACAACACCTCCACCCTTAATGAGAGATTTCATGAGGTGAAAGTGATATGAAATCTCAAACAAATGTTTATATAATTAATTAGTATAACTCAGATGGAAATGAATAAGTACATATATAAAGAAGTATTATACAGAGTCTTAACTACTAATTATAACTAACTTACATTATAACTTAACTAACATTTTTTTTATAACTATTGCAGATTTAAAAATGTATCAAATGGAAATTATTTTCTTTGTAGCGTCATATCTTGATGGTACATACCTAATGGGTCTGCGCGAGGGCGCCTGTAAATTAACATTCTCTTCTTCGGAGTTTCATAGTTACCTACATTTTCAGAGTTTTGGCTAATATTACGATTATAATGAGCAACATATCTATCACTATTTCTTGAAGATGGTTCCACAGACTGATTAACTCTAATGCATAAGTTTGGAATAATTCCGCAACAGGCTGTCTTGTTATTACATTTTGTATACAATTTATAAATAATAAAAATATGTAAGAAGAGCTAAGATATAGGCAATTACAGATGCTGGAAATGTATAATTGTTTACAAGTTTCCTTTTAGAATTTCATCACCTAACTTTTCAATATCTTCTAGATTATGGCTCGCTACATTAATTTCGGGGATGTGCTTTGTTAATTTCATATAATGTTCGTTGAGAAATATTTCACTAATGTTTATTTTTTCTTCCTTTATCCTTTCACAACAATTATCA